TTAATGTCTACATTCTAAATTAGAGTATAAGTGTGAACTCTTCATAAACTATTTGAGATATTGAGAGAATAGAAAAGATTTATGATAAGACATAACGACTTGGCTCTGTGGTTTGTATGGGTTAAATGGAGAGAGAGAAGGAAGTGACTTGGCTGTGTACATGGCTTCAGGGTAAATAGACAGACAGCTTGGCCTTAGTGATGAGAATGTGAATGGTTAGAAAAGGCCTGAAGTAGAAGTGATTGTTAGCATGACTAGGAAGAATGGTTGGGATTTGGAAGGAAGCAAAAATTGGAAAACTTGAGGTTTTGGGCAAGGAGTCTAACAGAAGCAGAAACCAGCAATGTGGCAAGCAAAGGCTTCTTGGTAACTATAGCTTTTATCTAGGTGCAGTACCAATGAGAGTAGCAGCAGCAGCAGCAGCAGCAACAGCCCTATTAATGTGAGCTCTCGCTTACTAGGTCTCTTTATTTTATATATATTTTTAATCCTCAGCACCATTATTGAGATACTTATTGTTTTCACCCTCATCTCACAAATGAGGAAGAAGAGAGATAGGTAAATGATTTACAGCAGATCCCATAGTTTATAATAGGTGCAGCTGAGATCTGGAGCGGCTTTCTGACTCTAGGACACTGTTCACTTCCTCATTGTTTTGCTTCCAGACAATATTGCTTTATGTTCAGGAGGAATAGTGGATTTGATTAATCAGTGTATGAAGTTATGGAAAATACTGAATACCAGACTATCAGTTTTGAACTTTCTTCATTTAATAAAGAACCATGGAGCTTTCATCTGGAGCAGAGTGAAGCTATAACATGATAGGGGACAATTCCGCACATGATGGCAAGTGAGTCTCTGCCAGAACAGGGACTGTTAGAACTGAGCCGTGCTTTCCAGCCACTTCTATATGCAGGACTAGCGTTCAAGGGGTAGAATTCTGATATAATTGTTAATTATCTGGAACTTGTACTCTTCCTTGATTTGTACGGTTTAACTTTTCCATTTTATTTTTTTGAAAGAAGCAAACACTTCTCTTTGAAACTGAGTTATAGTTTCTGTTGTGAACTTGTATTAGTTGTGGTGGGAAGACCCAAGGATATTAGAGCTTACATTCCAATGGAGAAGACAGAATGAACATATGTGGATAATATGTAGAGAAAAAAGAGATTCTTTCCTTTTTGTTCTTCCTTTCTCATATTGGTAAGCAATAAAAAATGAAACTCTTAAGGTCTAACTTGCATAACTGCCAAGAAATATGAGCACTGTGATAACATCTGGGCTGTAGCTGTGGCTGCCATGAGTGGGAGGGCGAAAGTTCTGCTGCCATAGACCTGATCTGGATCCTTGTAACCCCAAGGCGCACAGCACAGGAGAATCGTCATCCTTTTGAGTTTCGGTTTCATTTGTAAAGTGGAGATGATAATCCTATCACAATTAGCTGCTGAAAAAATTAGAACCAATATATCTGTAAACTGTGTGGCATTTTCCTGGCTATAGTACAGTGATAGGTGTTACACACTGCTGTTTTTCTGTACTGCCTATTGCAGTAGAATAGTAATGGTGGTTTAAAAAAAAAATCATTGCTACCCCAATATCTGTAATACGCCTGTGTACCTCACATGTGAATTCTCTGGGAAGAGGGGCAAAGATGAGAAAGCGTGGTAACCAAATCTAAGGCAGGAAGAAGGGGTTGGCATGAAAGAGTTTATTTGTGCTCCTTTAGAAGTATGAACACCAAGCATAAACTTTAGGAAAAACTGCAACCAGACAACACTAATAGTACCCTTAAATTTGTCTTGGGTCACTTCCTGCTCATGAAGCCACATTCATCAATTTATGTGCATTTGGGGTCATGGGAATAAGTCAGGGATGTAGAGAAGAATGAGGAGAGCAGCTTGGCCTTATGATTCAATTATAGCATGCTCAGCTTTAGAATATGTGACATTAGAAAAATTGGAGACAGTTGATCCTAAAAGGAAATTTAGCAAAAATATGAAGTTACTGACTTTTCATTCTGAAGATTCTTCTTTGAGGAGGAAAGACATTTAAATAGGAGGCTTATAATTTAAGGAAATTGTGATTTGTAAGTACAGCGCCCAGTGCAGGTGTAAAAAGTAATCTTTGCATTGTGAACGTAATCCTGGCCATTGTTGAGTGGCTCTTAGTCTGTTAGCCCTTAAAGTTAACAGCAAATGCTTTAATATCTGTTTGAATTATTGAGTTTAGTAAGTGCTGAGTTATTCTCTTCATCATACATACTGTTCACCAAGGGCCAGAAATCATTATGTGTGGTTTTAGGTAAATTTCTTTTGAGGTCTGGTTTTCCTCTCAGCCTCTCGAATGGAATCCTTAAGCGGATTGAATTGATTCCCTTCCTGGCTTTTTAAAAACCTGCCAATTGTTATACTGTTGCAGTGTACTTGTTTTGCCACTAGATGGCATTAATGTACCTTTGAACCACATCACCATGGGGTCTGAGAAAGCTTCGAATTTACTTCTCAGGTGGGGAACTGAACTTTTGGGGCTGAGTGACATGACTAGGGTCATACACTTACTCAGAATCTCTTAAATCCCAGTTCTCCATCTTTTCTCATCACAACACCA